GTTAAACGGGCGTGTTTGAGGAACGAATATGAATAACGGACAGCAACATGGGGCGGCACGGCGGCTCAGCGGTTAGCACTGCTTCCTCGCTGCGCCGGCAACCCGGGTTCGATTTCGGCCTCGGGCGACTGTCTGTGCGGAGTTTGCACGTTCTCCCCGTGTCTGCGTGGGTTTCCTCCGGGTGCTCCGGTTTCCTTCCGCACTCCAAAGATGTGCAGGGTAGGTGCGTCGGCCATGCTAAATTGCCTGTAGTGTCCAGGGATGTTCAGGTTAGGCGGTTTAGATATGGGAAATGCAGGGGTAGGGGAATGGGTCTGGGTGGGATGCTGTTCGGAGGCGCGGTGTAGACTCGTTGGGCCGAATGGCCTGTCCCCACACTGGAGGGATTCTATGAAAGTACTACGAAAGTATGAAATTCTAAAACGGTACAAAAATGGCACGAGAAAAGCCCAGAGTCTCAATCCAACGAGGTGCTGTTGTTAAAGATGCTGACCGTTGCCGGTGACACCTACCGAAACGGGGTCACTCCCGTACTGAACGGCAAACCGGCAAGAACGGAGGTGGACGCTGGTTTCATTGATATAGAAGACAGCCTCGACCGTGATCTTAGGTTCATGTCGCGCCACATGTGACCCCACCATACTGTTCTATATCTTACTGTCCTGCTTTGACAGCATCACCTTGATAAATTGATACGATCTCTCTACCTTAATTCGTTTGTACAGTTTTGAATTACTTATTATGTTCTCTCTCTCACACACGCATATCCATGTGGTGAATCATTTCATCCAAGATGTTTGTTTATTTGCAGATATATTCTATTTTGTTCAAAAAGCACACAATTTGTAGTCACAGTCAGTCGGTGCGGCATCTCGTAAATTCCGGCTTTTGGAATAAAACCTGCCCGATTCTAGGTTAAAACTCTGAAACAGATGCTGAACAAAGCTTCACACCTACAATTCAGTGTCTAACCCGAGATGTCATCTTTTGTACGCAGAATTGAAGCAAACGGAGACATTACCGATGAAACAACGAGACAACAAGGTGTAGAGCTGGATGAACACAGCAGGCCAAGCGGCACCAGAGGAGCAGGAAGGCTGACGTTTCGGGCCTAGACCCTTCTTCAGAAACCAATGAAACAACAATGTGATTAAGCACTGAGAAGTCCACGCGAGGAAGTGTGAAGTTAACTCATTAGGTCTGACATTCAAACAGAAAATGCCAGTAAAGTCTGATTGGATCTGAAACTACTGTGTCCTAACGAAACACTTCGCACACCAACAAAGACAAGCTGATCGCTGTATGTCTGCACCGACCCGGGCTGCCCAGTGATTTAAAGATACAGCTATTGACATGACCAAAAGTAATTTGACTTACGTGAATAAAGCTCCAAACCGCAGACCTCCTGCGACTTAGTTGGCGAGACAGTCGCTCGGTCGAGTATCGCTCCAGAGAACTGAGCACGTATTCCACCTAACGCGTGAAAATTAATTTTTGCATTTCAAGCGTCGTGATAGGTTGGAATATTTCAAAACTATTTAATTGATGGAAGAGCTTTGCACAATCCGGTAGGAATGAATGCATCTTTGAAATAAATGCACCTTTGTTGAGAAACTCAGCAGAAACCGAACTATTAAAAATGAAAGAAAAAGTTTCGTTTTCTCACATGGGTAACTGACCAAATTATCTATAAAAGATCTGAATTCCAAACACAGATAGAGCATCGTCAAGAAATCCTGAATAAGCTTTAGGAGCAAAAAATCCACTCTCATTCAAACGCATTAGTCATCTGTCTTCACTGGGGGAGTCTGATTCCCCCCCCGCGGCCCAATGGAAACTGAACAGGGTGAGCAGCCAGAAGTCGTGGTACCCGTCGGTACCAATGACGTAACTAGGAAAAGGGACGAGGTCCCGAAAAGTGAATATAAGGAGTTAGGCTGGAAGCTAAAAGGCAGGACGAGCAGAGTAGTAATCTCAGGATTACTACCGGTGCCACGGGCTAGTGAGGATCGGAATACAGAGCGAGTGCAGCTGAGCACGTGGCTACAGATACGTGGACCATTGGGATACCTTCTGGGGAAGGCGGGTCCTGTACGAGAAGGACGGGTCACACCTGAACCGGAAGGACACCAGTTTGCTAGAGCTCTTCGGGGGGGTTTAAGCTAGTTTGGCAGGGGGTGGGAACCAGAGCTACGGATCAGAGGACGGGGTAGCTGGTGTTACAGGCAGATACAGCATGCAGTAAGTTGCAGTCAGTGTGACGGGTTGAAGTGTGTCTATTTTAACGCAAGCAGTGTCAGCAGAAAGGGTGATGAACTTAGAACATGGCTCAGTACTTGGAGCTACGATGTTGTGACCGTTACGGAGACTTGGATATCACAGGGGCAGGAACGGTTGTTGGATGTTCCGGGGTTGAGAATTTTCAAAAGAAATAGGGAGGGAGGTGGGGGAGTGGCATTGCCGATCAGGGCTGGTATCACAGCTGCAGAAAGGGAGGTCGTCAAGGAGGGTCTGTGCACTGAGTCAGTATGGGTGGAAGTCAGAAACAGGAAGGGAGCAGTCACTTTATTGAGAGTTTTCTATAGACACCTCCCAATAGCAGCAGAGACACTGAGGAACAGATTGGGAGGCAGATTTTGGAAAGGTGCAGAAGTAATAGGGTCGTTGTCATGGCTAACTTCAACTTCCCTAGTACAGACTGGAACCTCCTTGGTGCAAATAGTTCGGACGGAAGTGATTTTGTCAAGTGTGTCCAGGAAGGATTTCTGACTCGATATGTAGATAGGCCGACTAGAGGGGAGGCCGTATTGGATTTGGTGCTTGGCAAAGAACCAGGCCAGGTGTCAGATCTCTCGGTGGGAGAACATTTTGGTGATAGTGATCACAACTCCCTGACCTTTATTACAGTCACGGAGAGGGATAAGAGCAGACGGTACGTGAAAGTATTTAATTGGGGGAGGGGGAATTACAATGCTATTAGGCAAGAACATCCAGTCAAGAGTAAGCAAGAGTAAGAAGGAAGCTTACTTAAAGTTGAGGAAACAAGGATCGGACAGGGCTGTAGAGGGTTACAAGGTAGCCGGGAAGGAACTTGAGAACGGACTTAGGAGAGCTAGAAGTGGGTATGAAAAGGCCTTGGCTGGTACGATTAAGGAAAAGCCCAAGGCGTTCTATACTTATGCGAGGAACAAGAAGATGGCCAGAGTGAGGGTAGGGCCAATCAGGGATAGTGGAGGGAACTTGTGCCTGGAGTCAGGCGGTGGTAGTAGAGTCAGATACATTAGGGACATTTAAGCAATTCTTGGATAGGCACGTGAATGACAGCAAAGTGAAGGGTATGCGGGTTAGTTTGATCTTAGAGGAGGATAATAGGTCGGCATAACATCGTGGGCCACAGAGCTTGTACTGTGCTGTACTGTTCTATTCCTCCCTGACTGCGATTGGAACAACACTCGGAAGAAAACTGGAAGAGCAAGGCTTTAATAGGGCAGGCGTATTGTTAGGCCAGCTCTTTGCTTTGAAAACGGATGACGAATTGGTTGGAAGACATCTGCGGAACCAACATCAAACAAGCTGAACAGTGAGACAATTGTTTACAAGAACGGTGCGATGCCTTCCTTTAGTTAACACTTGTTTATCTAAAGCATGTGTCAGTCTGGTTTGAATAAGCGTTGCAGACCATCATCAATTTTCCCATGCTTGCCCTGAACATGGGTGAAGCTTGTCTTAATCGTATGTGAATTTCACAACTTAAATTCCAGTTCAAAACAATTGTTTTATGGTCTAATTGATTTTACATGTAACATTAATTCTCTGATAAAGGCTACAGTAAATGGTGTAACTTTAAAAAACGACAGCAAAACATTATTTTGTTACCCGCTTAATTTCTCATTTTGTTGAAACTTATTTCCCAATCAATTCTGAGTTGAACATGTAGAGTCACAGCGTCATAGAAACGTACAGCACGGAAACAGAGCCTTCGGTCCAACTCGTCCATGCCGACCAGATATCTTAACTTAACCTAGTCCCATTTGCCACGATTTGGCCCGTGTCCCTCTGAACCCTTCCTATTCGTAGACCCATCCAGATGCCTTTTAAATGTTGTAATTGCACCTGCCTCCATCACTTCCTCCGGCAGCTCATTCCGTACGCGCAGCACCTTCTACGTGATCGAGTTGCCCCTGAGGTCCCTTTTAATTCTTTGGATTCACCTTGCCAGCTACCGGGATCCCTTGAGCTTTTACCTTGTTATCAGTCTTCCGGGCGGGACCTCGTTTAAGGCCTTGCTGAAATCTATACAAACTGCATCAACTGCTCTACCCTCGTCCACACACTTGATTACCTCCTCAAAAATTCAACGAGATTTGTTAGGCCTGACCTACCTCCGACAAAACGTGGAGATTAATTCACTCCTCCAGAATTTCCACCGTATGTCTCAGCAGTTCCACAGTCTACCTCGATCAGCCTTCTTGAAACATTGAGCCACATTAGCTGCCCTCTAGTCCTCTGACACCCTCCCTGTGGCCAGAGAGGAATTAAAACTTTGGGTCAGATCCGTGCCATTGCCTCGCTCGTTCCCAACAGCGACCTGGGATACAACTCGTCCAAACCTGGAGATCTGACCACTTTTAAACCAGCCAAAATCTCCAAACCTCCTCACTCCCCATATCTATCCTTTCAAGAAACTCCAGAGTAAAGAGAGATGCCAAGTATTCATTTAACACTCTACCGCCGTCCTCCGGCTCCGCACACAGATTTCCCCTTTGTCCCTCGTGGGCCCGACCCTTTCCCTGCTGATGCTCTTCCTGTTGATAGGCTTGAAGAAGATCTTGGGATTCTCCCTAATCATGCCCATCGGTTTGTTCTCATGCCCCCGCCCCCGTTTGCTGTACTAATTCCTTCCTTAAGATTCTTGCTGCACTTTGTGTATGCCTTTGGGGTCTCTGACGATTTGTTGCCTTTGTAACTGTCATACGCCTTTGTGCTGTTTTGGGCATCGTGCATTGGTGGTGCTGGGGTTTGGGGGTGCTGGGAGCTGGGGGATTGGGGTGGTGTCCTTAATTTCATTGACCTGAGAAATTCTAACTGGACCAGACAGGATACAAACTAAGCCATCCTGGACTCAGAAGAGGAGAAATATGTTCTCCCAGAGCGTGCTGAGCCTGGAAATCAGTTCCATTCCCTGTGCAGGATATGCGATCTTGAACGGTCTTTGTGAATTGCGTCCTGCAGCTGTCACTTTTAAGGATGCCTGTGATGACTTCTGCCTCTCAGAGATGACGATCTTAATCTGAATTGCTATGCTCAAGATTTCTTGGGACCTGGTTTGGTATCCAACACGGT